ATGAAAATATATTTCTAACTGTACAGCACCTCCATATTACTATATGAGAATGAGAACATAGGATAGAAGTTAGGGCACAGTAGCAGCTAACAAAAGCTTCGGAAGAAGAGTATAAGAAACGAGACATATTTAGAGAGATTAATCACCTCTCACTTACCAGCAGTCATAGCTTTGGGGAGGTCCTAAACCTGAGTTTACATCCCTAATTATTGCATTCAATAGTCCTTGATGGATCTACCTTCTGTTAAATCCCTTTCTGAACCCAGTTTAAATTAGTGGGAGTTAGACATCTAAATATCTTTTGAGATCTGTAACCAAGTGGATTTAACCCCTGCAGCATTCTAGCCTATGAGTGAATTCATTACAAGCTAAGCCAGGGGTAGACAATTATTTGGGCAGGAGGGCCACTTAAGGAGTTTTGGTGAGCTGTTAAGGGCTGGCCAGGGGGCAACCTGTTCTCCAAACATCCCTGCAGTGTGATGGGCATCAGTTCTGCAGGACCCATCCCATCCACCCAAGTGAGCATGTCCTGCTGTGCGGGTCTCAGGCAAGTCTCCATGGAGACCCTGCCTGCCCACCTGCCTACCCCCCACCTGCCGTTGTGGGGGCTGCCAGGAAGCCAAGTCCAGCTGATCCACCACCTCCCCCAACCACTGCACCACCCAGCCCTGCAGACTACAGCTCCCGGCATGCCTGAGAGCTGAGTGCAGAGAGAGGGTGGGCTGAGCTCCACACCAGGTGGCACCTCCACTCCACGGGCTGTGGGATTGGCAACAAGTACCATGGCTCAGGTGGTCTCCCATGCCTGGACCAGGTGGGGGCAAGGGACCCGCCGTGGGCCTGACCCAATCACTTGGTGGGCTGGATCTGGCCTGTGGGCCATATTTGGCCACCCGTGAACTAAGCAATACCATTTCACTGTCTATCCTAAAAATATTGGGTTCTGATGTACATAATGACACATCATTCTGTTTCTGAATTAATGCATCAGCTTTGTGATGGTGGGATTATTCATTCTTCCCTCCTCCACTCTCCATTCCTTTTCCTCTGGTTATTCTTTGCCCCTCCATGACAGAGAGAAATGAGAGAGGCTATTTTTTTTCCCAGGGCGGAGGACAGCTGATCTTTCTCCCAGCACTATTTCATGTGATGCTCAGGAGAGGAGAGAGCAGCTGACCAACGACAGGACCTTCTCAGAGCAGGCCAGCAAAGCATACTGAGCTTCATGCCTGAAGACAATAGGCAGAAAGGCCAGACTGCCAGTCAGTACACTCACATGAACTCTACAGTTGATTAAAAATGGAGTAGTTATCCCTGCAGCCTCTATTGCTGCAGCTAGCTGATGTCCAAACACTAATGCAGTGGGAGCCAGTCTTTTTGACAGATATACTACAAATTTGCTTTACACCTTCCCCACATGCTGCACTGATCCACTTCCCACCTCTTATCTGCAGCTCAGCTTTCTGCTCCCTGCTCTGTGCTCCTTGAACAAGCAGCTGCTCCACTTTCTGCTTCCTTCCTTTTGCTCCCTGCCCTATCTGCTGCTCTGCTTTCTTCTCCCTGCTTTATCTTTCACTGTGCTGCCTGTCCCTTCCCCAGTCTGCCACATGCCACATGCAGAGGCTGCCTGTGCCACTGGTGGCATGCGTTCTGCAGTTTGGCCACCCTGCACTAATGTTTTGAGTCTGTTTTCCTGTGTCATGTTGTGGGAAGGTGCAGTCCCTTGTCATGCTGCAGGAAGAGGACAGGAAGATGGGTGGTTACAAAAGAGAATGTCATTAAGGGGAGAAAAGGCGGGGTGTAGCACTCTACATCAAAGAGCAATACCCGTCCTCAACTAAAAGGATAGGGTCAGTGGAGTGGCAGGCTGACGTGCTCTGGGTCAGAATACAGGGGGGTCATGGGGAAAGGGACTTAATAGTGGGGGTCTACTACAGACCAAGGGGAAGAGCTGGACCGTGAATTCTCGGGTCAGCTTGCGGAGGCACTTAAGGCAAGGGATGTAGTCGTCATGGGTGATCTAAATTACCTGGACCGCTCACGGAAGTTCCTTGCTGAGATACAGGACCTAGACTTAACCCAGGAGGCGCACAGTCCCACCAGGGGGAATGCCCTCCTCGACCTGGTCCTGGCCACAGGCGATGACCTGGTGAGGGGACTCCAGGTCCTTGACCACCTGGGTGACAGCGATCATCACTTGCTGGAATTCACCATCCAGTGCAGGGTGTCAAGGGCCTGCAGCAAGCCAACAGCCCTTGACTTCAAGAATCAAAGGGGACAAGAGTGCTCAAAAGTAACCCCTGGCTCGCCAAAGGCCTGAAGAGCCAAAGAAATTGTTAAAATCATCATCTTTGACTAATGCCTTGCATGGCTGCTTAAAACAGATTTAACTATATCTGATTTTTAAAAAGATGGTTAAACTATTTCTCACAATACAAAGCTTTGTAAGTGTGCTCAGCCTGTATAAACCATGGACAAGTTTCCTGCCTGGGTAGCTTGTACTTCAATGTGCAATGCAGAGCCATACGGGCATATTTTAGCAGCAGAAAGATCTTATAAGGAAAGCCAAAAAAGAGGCGTACACCCAGCGGAAGGGAGGGGCTATCACCAAAGAGGAGTATACCTCCATCACTTGGGTTTGTAGGGGGGCTGTTAGGAAAGCTAAGGCAGATGAGGAACTAGGGCTAGCATCAAGGATCAAGGACAACAAAAAGTCCTTTTTTAAATACATAGGACATATGAAGAAAGCACGAGTAATGTGGGGCCCTTGCAGGGCACGCTTGACAATCTGGTGGTTGCACCAGAGGAAAAGGTAGACCTTTAAAACAATTTCTTTGCCTCCATTTTCTGGTGCAGGGACCAGGACTCCCACACTGAGATTCAGGACGGACTCAGGAGCTGAGGGAATTGGCAGGGGCCATCGTGGGCCCTCTGGCAAGGCTTTATGAGCACTCGTGGTGCTCTGGCCAGATGCCAGACAACTGGAAGAAGGCCAATGTGGTCCCCATTTTCAAAAAAGGGAGGAGGGGGGACCCAGGCAACTATAGGCCTGTTTGTCTTACTTTGGTCCTGGGGAAGCTCTTTGAGAAGATTATCCAGGAGCACATCTGTGAGGGACCTGCATGGGGGATGATGCTCAAGGGCAACCAGCATGGGTTCATTAGGGGTAGGTCCTGTCAGACCAACCTGATTGCCTTCTACGATCAGGTCACAAAATCATTGGACTCAGGTGTTGCGGTGGATGTAGTCTTTCTGGACTTCAGGAAGGCCTTTGACACTGTCTCCCACCCCGTTCTCATTGAAAAGCTAGGTGACTGTGGCATTGATGCCTACATGGTCAAATGAGTCACAAATTGGCTGAGGGGCTGCACCCAGAGACTGGTGGTGGATGAGTCTTTTTCGACCTGGAGGGATGTGGGCAGTGGGGTCCCCCAGGGCTCGGTCCTCAGGCCCGTAATGTTCAATCTCTTTATTAGCGACTTGGACAAGGGGGTGAAAAGCACCCTATTCAAATTCGCTGATGACACCACAATTTGGGGCAAGGTGGGCATGCTAGAAGGGAGGGACAGGATACAGCTGGACCTGGACAGGTTACAGGGGTAGGCGGATGAGAATAGGATGGGATTCAATACGGACAAGTGCAGGGTACTGCACTTGGGCAGGAAGAACCAGTAGCATACCTATAGGCTGGGGAACTCCCTTCTCAAAAGCAGAAAGAGATCTTGGAGCCATTATCGATTCCAAAACGAACATGGGACGCCAATGTGAGGATGCGGTCAGGAAAGCCAACTGCACCTTGTCATGTATCCACAGATGCATCACAAGTAGGGCCAAGGAGGTGATCCTCCCCCTCTATGCGACACTGGTCAGGCCACAGTTGGAGTACTGCGTCTAGTTCAGGGTGCCACACTTTAGGAGAGATGTGGCCAGCATCAAGAGGGTCCAGAGGAGGGCCACTTGCATGATCCAGGGACAGCAGGGAAGACCCTATGAGGAGAGGCTATGGGACCTGAACCTGTTCAGCCTTCACAAGAGAAGGCTGAGAGGGGACCTGGTGGCCATCTATAAACTTACAGGGGGGACGAGCGGGGAATAGGAGAGACCCTATTCACCCAAGCACCTCCCGGAGTAACAAGGAATAACAGCCATAAGTTGTTTGAGAGTAGGTTCAGGCTGGACATTAGAAGGCACTACTTCAGCCAGGGCGGCTAGGATCTGGAACCAACTTCCAAGGGAAGTGGTGCTGGCTCCTACCCTGGGGGCCTTTAAGAGGAGGCTTGAGAGTTATCTAGCTGGGGTCATATGAGCCCAGTATTCTGTCCTCCCTAGGGCAAGGGGTCGGACTTAAAGATCTACTTAGGTACCTTCCAACCCTACATCTATGAATCTATTAAAAAGAGAACTCAGAAGCACTATTGATAAGTAATGATACTTCTAAGTGAAGGTGAAAAGACACTTCTCTAATGAAGTCTTCAAATGCACATCAGTCTTTCACTTACAGCAGTGTAAATCAGTATAAATAAATGGATTAACATCACCATCAGTGAGTAGAATCAAGCCCTGAGTGGGGGCTATTGATTAGTGGACACGGCATTGTCATGGCTGGCTTTGTGTCTCTGTGCAGCTATGCATGGCTTTTTGCACCACCTCAGCTGAGAATAAACATGGCTTGTTCCCCATCTGCTAGATGCTAAATGTAACAAAGGAATGGAAAAAAGCCTGTTTTACCTCTGCCCAAATTTTATGGGATTTCAAAATTCACACTGCTATAACCCAAATACTATGTCCGCACAAATGATGCTTGCACACTTCACCTGATCTTCATTTCTGACTCACTTTGACCTTTCAGCCTGTCATGTGCATCCGGTCACATAGCAGTTCTGCTTGTCATACTGACAAATTGTACAAGAGACACAGGAAACTAGGAGTCATGATTTCCTCAAGTGTATGTTGTCTGCAGTCACTGACCTTCAGTGGAAATGTAATCAAAGGGTGGGAGGGGGTGACAGGGGCAATAACTACAGGCATTGTCTTTTGGGGGTGCAAAAGTAATGGTAGCTGCAGCAGCTTGGCTATGCTGCCACCACCTACAGCTGGGAGTTGTCCCTGTCTCATGTGCTGGCAGGGGCAAAGCTGGCCTGTAATGCCTCTTGCATTCAGGACTTAGCAGGAGCATCATGGTAGGGTGTGCTATCTGTTGGGGCACGAGACAGAAGCGTGACCGACTGAGAAAGCCACAGGGGAATTCAAAATAAGATGGGGATTGTTAGTTTTTTAGAACTCTGTCAAAGACATGGAAATTAAATGGCAGAATACCATGCTGGATTAGCAGCCACACTATCACATTTAGGAAAAGGAGAGCCATCATTAGAAAGCAGTAGATTTCTATTTTTTCTCTTTTACAGGCGGTGGAAGGATTTCAATTCTGTTTTGGAAGTCTTTATTTCTCTCTTAGAGGAAGAGGAAGCAAGGCAGGGCGTAGACTGAGTCAAATGATTCTGGGCCATCCCTTTAACTTTCATCAGTCTCTGTAACTCCGGCAACTTCATTTTCCTGGAACAGAGAGGAGCTGTAGACCTTGTTTGGGTTTTCTTTTCTGGCCAGAAAGTGGTTTCTAGGCTGGGGTAAAGACAACAAAGTTGATTTTCCCTAGAAAAAAAACCCTCTGTTGCTTTGAATATTACATAATCTGTTACATTTGAGTGTAAAATGAGTCCACAATAAGTGTATAACAGGATTAGTTTACTTTTTTTAACATGTATCTGTTGTACCCTCATCAGCACAGGTGTGGATACATTGCGAGAGCTGCAAAATCCCGGGGAGTCAGGTCTTGTGTCTGAATTCTTTTCTAAAGCAGAGGCCATGCATCCATTGCCTGCAAAATTACTTGGCACCTTCTCGAAAAAAAAGGATCTAGAAAGCACAATTAATTTTTAGCCATAGATAGATTTAACATCCTTTATAAAGGGCTAGATCTATCAAACTTAGGCTGTCCTAAACAGTCAAGAAAACTTAACACAGGCTTTAAGGTTTTCCACTGGGAATTGGGTAAGAAAAAAAGAGGTTATACTCTGCAAACAAACCCA